TCTTTTCATAAAAATTTATTTCTTTATTTTATTAATTACTTTACAAAGTTTATTCACTTTGTATCCCAACTGTACCCCCTCCCTCATGCCCTCCCAATCTCATTTCCCCCCCTTCTTCTCCTCCCATGCCCCTCCCCAAGTCCACTATAGGGGAGGTCCTCCTCCCTTTCCTTTTGACCCTAGCCTATCAGGTCTCATCAGGACTGTCTTCATTGTCTTCCTCTGTGACCTGGTATGGCTGCACTCCCCTCAGAGGTAGGTGATCAAAGAGCAGGCCACTGAATTCATGTCAGAAACAGTGCCTGTTCCCATTACTAGGGAAACCACCCAGACACTGAGCTGCCATGGGCTACATCTGAGCAGCGGTTCTGGGTTATCTCCATGCATGGTCCTTGGATAGACTATCAGTCTCAGAAAGGACCCCTGTGCCCAGTTTCTTTTTTTTTTCTCTCTCTCCTTGTGGAAGTTCTCTCCTCTCCAGGTCTTTCTATCTCTCTTCTTGCATAAGATTGTCTGCAGTCTTCCCAAAGTTTGGCTATGAGTCTCAGCCTTTGCTTCCATATCCTGCAGGGTAGAGTCTTACAGAGGCCCTCTGTGGTAGGCTCCTGTCTTATTCCCTGTTTTCTCCCTCTTCTGAAGTCATTCTTGTTTGCCTTTCTGATTGAAGATTGATCCTCTTACTCATGATCCTCCTTCTTTAGGTAAGTGACATGATTCTTTGGTTGAGTCACCTCTGCCAGAATCGATCTAAACTGCTGATTTTATGTATTTCAAGGAGAACCTGTAACAGATACCAAAGAAATACATTGCCTGCTCTTAAACTCTACCCCACCCTGTCTTGCGTAGTTTTCTGTCAACTTAACAAAAGCTAGGATTATCTGGCAAAAGGGAACTGCAATTCAGAAAATGCCTATATCAGACTTGGCTGTAAGAAAATATTAGTGAAAGATTTCCTTGATGAATAAAGCGGGAGGACCCAGCTGAGTGTCAGTGGCACCACACTTGGTAGGTCATCCTAAGTTGTATATGAAAGCCAACTGAGCAAGCTATAAAGAGCCATAAAGGGTTCTTCCGTGGCCTCTGCTTCAGTTTCTTCTTTGAGTTCCTATCCTGACTTTAGTTCTCCCCAACTAAAGCAAAAATCAGTACAAGGGCCACAAGATAATTCTTTAAAGACTTGGCCATGTTGTTTTTTGTCGGTTGTGGAAGTGTGTAGAAATCTGGTACACTGAGAGCTTAATAGAGTGTTGCCGGGACTTAGAAGATAATGCTGAGGGCAATGCAAGTGATAGAAAGCCTGGCTTGTGAAGTTCCGAGGGAAGTTTGGGTGTTCCTCAAAGACTCTATTAACACTGTTTACGTGACATTTTGAATAAAGTGCCTGTGATTCTGGTCAGGTAGGCCTGAAGAAACAGTTTTGTTTAAGAAAAGACTAAGACCACCAATGTGAAATGTTTGCCTTAAAGGGACACTGTTGGCTGGTTAGATGAGACTGAGAAATTAGCCATGATTAAGAAGAGACCAGCAACACTGATGCAGCCGAGAAAATATCATTTGTTAATGATAAAAAGCATCAGCTGAACAGAAAAGGTTGTGATCACTTAATACTTAACCTGGGATCTTTTAGAAAGCAAGTGTCGCATTTGTAGGCATTAAAGGCTTGTAGCCTAACAAATCAATGACATTTCTTATTTTCCTTTCTTCAAAGAATTCCAGAGAAGTGCTGTACAAGACCTATTCCAAGTGTAAGAATTGTCCTACAAACTGTCAGAGCTATGAATTTTAAGCTTGAACTTGGTTTATAGAAGACTGTAGGAGGGATATTTTTCTAACTAAAAGTCAAAAGTATATAATAGTGATAATGACTTTATGTGTGTTGCTGAAGTGATACTTTTCATTTTTTTTGTGACTCATTGAAGCAACTATGAGAAGTTTTCTTCATTTTAAGCATTAAGGAACTATGCTAAGTGATGTTTCTATCTCAAAAAAGTAGTATTTGTACTGTTCTCCAGCAGGGACCAAAAGTCACCACTTGACAGAGACCCAGGTGCCTTCCTTCTACTGATTCATTTTGACCTATCCAGACTACTCTGAGACCTGCCACTTACCTGCCTCAGCCCTTCCCCTCAGCCCACCCCCACCCACTATAGACTCACTGACATCTGGGGCCGGAGCCAGAGTACCCCTTATTCTATCTCTGTTACCTTTTGTGGAGCTGGACACTAAGTTCTATGTAAGAGAATTCCAAAATCATCCCTCCCACTGCGTACAAACCTAAACTTACCCTGTCCTCTGCACCGGGACTGTATATCATATAAACCCTAGAACACAGTGTCTCCATAACTGAAAACCAAGCATCATTCTTTTAATCAAAAAAAACCTGTCAGATTGAGGCTAGAGCAACCAAAGAAATAAACACCAATTTAATAAAGGCAAGACTAGTTTTGTATACCAAATAACACTGCAAACAGCATAACTCCAGATGCTGGTCCCAGCAAGAAAACACAAACAAACAATAAGAAAATAAGTCTCTTCTAGAAGACACCACCACTATTGTAGCATGCTGAAACACAAGAAAAGTAATTTATAATAACAATTATGAATATGTTTGAGGACTTTAAATTTGTATGAACGAGCCATTGTGGTGGCAGACACCTTTAATTCCAACCTTAATGAAGATCATGAAAACAGTTGAATGAAATGATAAAAACAATTCAAGATATCAAAGTAAAATTTTACAAAGAAATGGGATTGATTAAGAAAATCCAAACTGAAATAAAACTGTATTTGAGAATTTCAGGATATAAAATAATAAAGGTCAGAGGTCAGCCTTGATAGACTAAAGAAGGGGAAGTGAGAATATCAAATCTTAAAGACAAGGTAGAATAAATCGATAGCCAAGTCAAAACAAAGAACATGTTAAATCTGTAGAGAAAAAAAAAAGCCTAAAACACTCAGGGAACAAAGGATACAATAAAAAGACCAAACCTACAAATAATGGGCCTAAAGAAAAGAGAAGAAACTCAGGTCAAAGGCACAAAAAAATATTGGTAACAACATCATTGACTAAAAGTTTTCTAACTTAATAAAAGAGATGCCTATCAATGTGCAAGGGAAAACAGAAGACCAAGTAGACCAGGGCAACAAAGAAACTTCCTACAATACAAAATAATCAAAACTTTAAATGTAATGAACAACAGCAAAAATATATTAAAAGCTGCAAATGAAAAAACACCAAGTCACATATGACTATGGGTATATTAGAATAACATCTGACTTTTCTATTTTGTTTGTTTTGTTGCATTTTTTTTCTTTGAAAATTTCATGCATGTATACAATGTCTCCTGACCATATACAGCTTCACTCCACCATCCAACTCTCCCCAGGGCACCCATCACATTTCCCAACTTGATGACCTCTTGCTTTTTTGTTTATAAGTCAATGAGTACAACTAGGGCTGTCCATAAGCTCATAGATATGAGGTCATCCACTGGGATATGGTAAACCTACCACTGGCTACACTCCTAAAGAGAAATGATTCTCCTGCCTCAGCACTGGAAATAACCTCCTCAGTCCATGCTGGAGTTTTTAGCTTAATATTTTGCAGGTCTTATGTTGGTAAACACACTTCCTGTGAGATCATATATGTTATTTCCAGATGAAAGAATTTCATAGAATGCCTCCCTACCTTCTGGTTCTTACATTCTCTGAGACTCCTCTTTCTCAATGCTACATCAGCCTTAGGCATGGTGAGAAGCACAAATCTGTGTACACAAACACAAATTTTTAGCAGCTTTATAACATGACCATTTAGAAACAGCATCAATGGGTTGTCCCTTAGGACCCATGATTCCCCTATCTGTGGGTTTTGAGCCTGTGTACAGTATCAGGAATGAATTTCCTCCTATGGAGTAGGCCTCAATTCCAATCAAGAGACTGGTTGGCTCTCCACATAAGCAATTTTGCCACTGTTGCACAAGTGGCCACATCTTCAATGTATTGTAACATGAAAGCCAGAATGCCAAGAATGGAAGTCCTACAAACTCTGAAAGACCAAAAATACTGTTTTCTTCATTTCTTTTCCATTTCCCCCTACAGCTTACTTGCACCCTTGCTTTGCAACATATGAACATAGGCAACATAGATAGAATCACACATGCAAAAAAACTGAGATAAAACAATATTTCCCTACTATTTTCCTCTTTATTGTCCCCCACCCACCACACTCTATGTAACAAAGGTCCTCTTTTTTCTGTCCTGGTTTCTGTAGTTATTCCAGAGTATGTGCTTAAATCTAACTATTCAGAACACATGACTGACACTTGTCTTTCTGGGTGTGAATTACCTTACCCAATATGATCTTTTTTAAGTCCATCACTTACCTACAAAGATCATTTTTTCAT